CCAAATGGGTGAATTTAAAACCAACCAAGTTGCAGAGTTCCACAGTGCTGCAACTCAGGTCTTTCCTCCTCCTACTCTTTGTTTATGTTGCTGAAAGGATACAAAATAAGCTGCTAATACAACATTAAGGCTATGTCTACATCTACAGCTGTGCCACTATAGCATCCTAGTGTAGAAGCTTCCTAATGCAATAGAAGGGTTTTTTTTTCTGTTGATGTAATTAAACCATCTCTTCAAGATGCAGTAGCTAGGTCAACAGAAGAATTCTTCCATCAACTCAGCTGCATCTGCAATGGGGTCTTGGTTGACCTAACTATAGCACTTAAGGCATGAAATTTTTCACAACCCTGAGCAACGTACCTAGGTCTAGCTAATTTTTAAGTGTACACCAGGCCAAAGACTGCAATTGCAGATATACACAAAGGAGGGTATGTAAACATTAAAAGTTCTAATTCTAGCGTTTACTTACTCACATCATCTATATTAAAAGGGACAACCAGAATTACACCCAATTTGGGTTTCGGAAAAAATTGTGTCCCCAAACCTCATAGTAAAAGCCACCATCTTCCTTTTTTTTAAAATGCCAATTAAATTATATCCCTTCCCACCTTCCATATCAAAACATTGTGGCACCTGTTGAAATAGATGGACATTGTATAGTAATTTACACATGAGCTTGAGTTCATACACACAAGTTACGACAGGAAGGCTTCTCTACCCACCTATGAGGAAACAAGTCATGGGGAAAAAAGGAGGTGCTTCTGTGCTGCTATGGATCTGGAAAGAAGTAGATTCTGCCAGGATCCCTCCACAAAAGGAATATGCACAGAGGAGCTGGTAATCTTACCACACATCATGAATATAGCAGACGGTAGCCAGAGTTGTGCTTCTCTCATCAGATCCTAAACGAGGCAGCAGACAGGGATATGAAGAGGAGCCCTCCTGCTCAGGAGTCTCCATTATTTGAAAGTGGGGCGAGGGGGAGAATGAGAAGGCTCTTGCAGTCTCCCTCTTGCACATATTATCTGGAAGAGAGGATCCTCTTGGAATTAAATGCTTGAAGCCCCAGCCTGGGTACTTCTGATACGGTTGTGGCATGAGTGGCTTCTGATCGGGACAGGGGGAATCGGATGAAGGAGAAATCCAAATAGTTTCTTGTTTGACTTTAGAGTAGCGATTAATGGCTGGGAGGAGAATAATTCAAATCCTGGAAATATGAACCCTTGGAGTTATTAATAAAATGTATTACTGTCCCAATGTTTCAGTGGATTAGGGCCCCATTATGTTAGGCACTGGAGCATGTCACCAATATAAATCTGTTTCAGCGTTTACATAATCTGGACAAAAAAAAACCTATTGTCAAGGGCTGAAATCTGATACAGATTTGACATTGTAGACAAAGTTCTCTCCTTATTCATGCCGTAAAAACTCATTTTTGGTTAACTATAAAAATGTATAGCCTGTATAGCAAGATAGGAATTTTAAAAGAAGCCAAAAACATTTACCTAAAATTCCTTATTACTCAGGCAATTTTCCTTTTTTGAAATTTGATAACAATGTCAGACTAAAAGCAAATGTTGATATCAGGGAGCACATTGTACTTCTATAAATCTGAGAAAATTGAAATAGTCAGCCACATGAACAGGTTCTCTTTATTGAAATCCTCACAAGGATTAAAAAGGACCAAATGGTGAGTTTGCATGCCAAACAGAAGTTCTCACCTAATTAACTGCAGTCTAATTCACATGAAGGAACAAACAAAATTCAAACACCCATGTTCTGCTATGAATGAAGTTAAATGAACCATTCTCCCTTATTTTCCTTAATTTTACCAGAAAAATAGATGAAGCATCTTTCCATGGCAAAAGAATACACAGATGTTACTGAAAACAGGTGCCTCTCATTTCCTTAAAATGAAAATGGCAGCAAAATGAGTTGAAATGATGGAACTGCTTATATTGATTATTTTTCTAAAAAAATTTAATAACCATTCTCCCATGAACAATGTTAGGTATCTGAATGCCTCTTCAATATCAAGTATGCATTTAAAAAAGTTAATGCTTCAAAAAACCAAACCACATGCACACACCAGTTCTGCATTAGATTTTTAAACTGTTAGCAACATCTGGAGAACCATTTAAACATCTTTCTTGCTGCAGAGATACTAATTACTTTGAAAGCCTAGCCTAGACAGGACCAAAATAAGGCAGCTAGCACTGCATTGGAATTTACAAGGCAGTAAATATTTAACTAAATTTCTGCTGGGAAATATCAACCACAGCATCCATACATAGAGAAACATGGTACATTTATTTTTAACATTTGAAATAAATTCCCAATTATAAAAAAGTAACCTCATGAAGGGACTTTACAGATAAGACTTGGTGAAAATGTCTCATCTTCCTTATTTCAGTTATCTGCATTAGACCAAGCTCTCCCCTCAACTCAATTTTTTGTTTGGTGCCACAGACCTGGGCTTTGAGATTGATTCTTTTTCCAGTGAACTTTGGAAAAATTGCAGTCATGAATTCAGCATGATGTCAGTGCTACAGGATCAAGCAGGAAGAGATTAGCTCTAAAAGGAGCAAACTCATTTAAATGCAAAAATGTAATAAGTTACCAAAGGATATGCAGAAACCTAAAGAGCTGAAATTTGCCTAAGTGATACTAGGTGAGAGTCTGTCCCAGTACAGAAGTCCCTCAAAGAAAAATAGTACCCATATTTTGTTAGGCCATCAGCCTGAGAATTCAAGTGACAAGATGCATTTCTCATTAAAAAATGTTGAAATTACAGTCAAGCAGCACTCAAAAGCTAAAGAATGGCAGAATTATGGCTACCCATGCAAACTTAATGTGTCCCTCTTGTATGTATGTATGTATGTAAGTAATGTTTTCACCTCTCTTAGCCTTTAGTTACATGATCACTTACTATATTTTCTACCAGGCTCCTTTGCACAGAATGGATAAATGCTCAGTGCACAGAATGGATAATGCACACTGACTGGGTAACTATTTCAATATTTCATTCTCATTTTGTGTGTGACCTTGTGCCCTACCTACTGCACGCCATCCAAACCCTGCACTGACTACAGAATTAGTATTTTCTTCATGGGCTTTTCTATGGCACACATCACTATTGCATCTGAAAACTTATTTTAACAATACTCCCGTGAGATAGGGGATGACAAATCCTACCTTTGTATAGATGAAATGATGCACAGAAGTTAAAGGCCAAAAATGTCAAGTACTCACGAATTTTGTGTGCCCAATACCACTCAGGATCTGATTTTATAGAGAATTTAGTATTTTACAGCATTTTCTATATTCAAAGTATATTGATTTCAATTTTAGGTATGAATGCTCAGCACTTCTGCAAATCAGACCATGTCTCAATTTGGGCACCTCGAAAGTTAAGACACACAGTTAGTGGTCTCCTCCGAAAAGTTTTTGTCTTAAGTGACTTCCCTAGGATCATACAGGAACTCTATAGCAACTACCTCAGCCAGAAGATCATTCTGTCTCATCCTGCAATCCCAAGTCATTTTCTTCACATCTTCTAACTTCTGGAACAAATGAGGCATAGCCTCCTTCATTGCACACAACCTGCTTCATTCTGTGCACTGAATTAGGCCGGGTTCTTGTGGGAAAAAATAGCATATAGTGATCATATAATTAAAGACTAACAATGTATGCATACACATGGAATCTGAATTAAGAGTACACAAACAAACTTGATTCTGGCATTTCCTAATATTCAAATGCTTGACTTGCAAACTTAACATTCTTTCAGTGTAGCCCCCCTGTATTATCCTACATTGTTTTAAAAAGCAAAAGGAAAAAACACAAATTCCATGGTGTGGAAATATGTTGATGCCCACATGGGTCACCAGCAGGATTACACCTTTTAGTCTCACAGCATCAATATTTGCCATTTAAGCTAATAGACCAGCTGATAGGAGTGGAAGGCTATAGACTAGCCAGTAGAGAGAGATGAAACATTCTGCCACTATTTTACAGTTATTTGCTATACAATAAAGGAATGCTGGGAATCCAGGACTCAGGATTCCAAATCTAGGTCCTGAAGGGAATTGTGCTCATGGATTATAGACCCTTCTGCCACAGTCCCCTAGCATGTCATTCCATGCCTCACACATAGCTTGCCCCTTTCTGTCCACCCTCTTTGTTCCTCGCCCCCCCCCCCCCGCCCACCCTCAGCATTTGAGTCAAACTGCTTCCTTCTCTACACTGCCGGGTGCAATTACCTTTTAAACTTTCAGAATACTGGGACAAGCTAACATTTGTATTCGTAACACTTTATATCCCATGTTCCAACATATTGAATTAAATCTTCACTGAGGGACTGTAAAATGTTTTAAATCAATGGATAAAGAACACTGTATATTCATTGTGTGTGTGTGTTGGGGAAGAGAAAAAAGTAGTGCATAAATAGTAAAATAGCCTATATTTAAAAAAGCTGTGCTTGTCTCTAAATGTCAGTACTCGGCTGACTAGAAGCTATTGTAAATGCAAGAGAGATTCCAAACACAATGTAAACGCGTTGGATAATAAGACACACCAAAGGCATTCAAATCAGCAGTATTGCTATTTTAAGCTTTAACATATCTGTCTTCTACACTGCTGTTCTAAAAAAGGAAACTCTCTCTGGAATTTGAACAGACTGTTCAGTATTTTATGCAGTTCATACAGCCGCTTGACATTTTTGATCATACAAATTCTTCCATCAGGTAAAATTCATGTTACTAAGAAACAGGTTATTGTAAAAAATAATTTTCAAACGGTAAATTAAAAATTTAGCATAGAAGTATTCAGATTAATACAGTATCTTAAACACTTTGTTAGATAGCTTTAGCCAGTAACAGGTACACATGGATGTGAACACAGACTTGATCCACTGATCAGTCTTTTTCCAAAAGTATTTTGAATAGAGAGAATGCCTGAATACTGTGATAATAGGAGGAAAAAAGTTGAGAAACAGTATATGCTTGCTAAACAAGAATTATGTTTATTTAGCTAGTGAATCACCTAGAGGAGTAAATTTTCACTTCCATGATAGCAATCTGTCAGGCTTGCAAACACCCAGAAATAGGAATTAAAGGTTTTAAATGTAGTTATAAAGGTCATAAAAAGTCTGATTTAGACTGAGGTACATTTACTCAAAACTGAGATTCATTGAGTGGTAGCAAACAAACAGTTCCTCAGACAAATGCACTTTTTTCAGTATACATATTACAGAAAAAATAAAGAAGTGTGCATTAACCGGTGCTGTCCACCAAGCTGCATATTAATATTCTCTTACACCAAACAGTTTGAAACAAGGGAAATGTCATTCTAATATAATTTCATGTTACGTTTCATTTGGCTAAACTGCATCTTAAAGTTGCCTTGCCATATTAAAAGTTTACTACAATAATTTTCACATGAACATTTAGACTTGAGTTTTACTCCAGGACTAAATATGGCATGATTTTGCTTTTAATCTGTTGAATAGCTAAAAACTGACAATTAAAAAAAAAAACTACAACAAAGAAAAAATAAGTTGAAGCAATGTGAATCTCACATCATTGAATCACTTCTAATGGTTAATTGTTAGTATTTTAACAAATTCAAAGAGTTAATGAATCCTTGCATTCGTTCCGTCTCCTGTGCCTTAGCTAGGATGCATAAATACAAAAGACAGCAGATACTGGTAAAAGCTTCATGACAGAAAGTGCTTGACGAAGTTACAGTTCTCAAGTGTGTTTGGTGAGAGAGTATAAGGGCAGATGCACTGATGAGAACCATTACAAGAAGAGTCAATTTCGTGTTAAAGTGTTCAAAGATGTCACCTTAAGCAGAAAAAAAGCTTTAATAACGTCTTCTTAGACATATTAGGCATTTCCAGAGTCTACATCATTAGTGTTGTAATTCTAGCAGGACATCTCCATATAGTTACTGTTTGTTTCTATTTCTCTCCTGCAAAAAAAAGAGGAAATAAAGTTAAAACAAGCATTTTCACATTAAATTCTGATATTCCCCCCTCATTAGAGCAGTAATAATGTCACTTGTTAAGCATGTTAACTTCCTTAAAGAATGCAGCATGTTTTATAGGAAATGAAATCAATGTTCTGTATGTATTCAGGCAAAGTGGAATGCTTAGTTCAGGATAACTTTTTTAAAGTACAGTGGAAATTAAAAGGCAAATCTGTTTAAATGACAATGAGCTGTTGAAAGGAACACATCCCACTATTACATTTAGGCACCATACTGGAGAAATATTTGCTTCCGTTAAAAAGGACATTCCACTGAATGAAATGAATAGTCGGGGGGGGGGGGGCGGGCTATTCAGCATTCAAGCAAGGAAAAAAAAATTACCTTAAATGTGCTGCCTAAGTTGTCAGCAAAATGGACTATATGTTTAATTAGTAGAGTTTTAAGTTTCCTTGAAGCTTTTTATTCCCTACAGTTCTGGAATCTGGAAGTGCTATTGAGGTGATACTCAGTCACTAGACAGGTTTCAGAGTTGCAGCCGTGTTAGTCTGTATCTGCAAAAAGAACAGGAGTACTTGTGGCACCTTAGAGACTAACAAATTTATTTGAGCATAAGCTTTTGTGGGCGACAGCCCACTTCATTGGATGCATGGAATGGAACACACAGAAAGATGATATTTATACATACAGAGAACATGAAAAGGTGGAAATTGATTGGCCTCTTACAGTTGGCATGGTTACTTTCACCTTTTCATGTTCTCTGTATGTATAAATATCATCTTTCTGTGTGTTCCTTTCTATGCATCCGATGAAGTGGGCTGTCACCCACGAAAGCTTATGCTCAAATAAATTTGTTAGTCTCTAAGGTGTCACAAGTACTCCTGTTCTTTCAGTCACTAGAGGTTTCATCCAAAACTCAAAGTCAATGTGAGTCTATTAACTTCACTGTGCTTTGGATGAATTCTGTGCCACCACTGCTGCACATACTGTATCACTCTATGAAAAAATAGCTGTCATAATTAAGGTCCACATGCACCAATAAATGTAGGTAGGAAGGAATCAACAGTAGAGAATGTTGGGACAAAACCTCTCCATTTTTTTTAGAAATTGTTTTTGCTATTAACAGGAAAAAACGTGATTGGGAGAGAAGTGATTGTGCATTTTAGTGTTTGCATATACACCTATGTTTTATAAGTGCATTATGTAGTATAGTAATTTAGTGATACATAGTGAAAGTATTTTCAATATTTTAAACACCCTTCTGGAAAAGTTCACATACAGAAAGGCTTCTGCTGTACTCACAGGTAATTTTCATTACAATTAAAAGGAGGAGACTAGATTAAATTTCTATTTTTTACTAACTTTACTACATGTTTCTGGCATTCAACAAAAAAGTAGCACGATGCTAGGATGAGATAAAGAACCTCTTAAATCTGAAGAATCATTGTCACGTAACATGCTGAAGCTACATAGTGTTCCTCACTGTTCGTATTAGGCAGGAAAGAACAAGTAATCCTGAATGAATGCTTCCAGGAAGACAGACTACAAGAAAGAAGGTACACAGTAGCCATATATGACTGAAGCTGTTCTTATTAAAAGTCCAGAGTATGGCTGAGGCCATGAACTGTACAAAGAGGTTTGGTACTTTGATGCAACACCTTTGCAGCAGCTCACAATGGTGCACGGTTAGACCCTCATCACTCAAAATACAACCATTACACACATTGGGCCAGATTCTGTCCTCCAAATTGCCTGCTTCACACTGCTTTGACAGTGCAAATTATTTGTATTACAATAGTTCCTGGAGTCCTTAATCAGGATCCCACTGTGCTGGATGCTACACACACAAAACCCACCCCAAAGAGCTTAGAATCTAAACAAACCTATTTTAAATATTAGTAAAGGTATTCTCTGTTTCCCATTTTTTCATCATTTTACTAGAACTGACTTTTTATAGCAAAAGAGTACATTGCATTACAGCAGGGGTCAGCAACCTAAGGCACACATGCCAAACACGGCACACGGGCGGATTTTGAGTGGCACGCAGCTCCCTGCCACAGTCCCGGCCCCCAGCCCCACTCGGGCCCCCCACCCACCGCTCTCCCCTGCGGGGGCAGGAGGCAGAAGCTTGGTCCTGTGGCAACCAAGCTACCCCCCTCCCCCGCTTCTTCTCCCAGCGTGGTGCTTTCCTGCCCCTCCTCCTCTCCTTCCCTGCGCCAGTCAGCTGATGGCCCTAGCCAGGGGGAGGGGGAAGCACGGCAGTGTGCACACAGCTCCATCGAGGACGCAGAGAGGGGTAGGGACGGAGCCGAGGGGAAGAGGATGGAACAGGGCATATCCCTTCCAGCCCCCTGCCATGAGCCGCTCAGGGCAGGGGGCTGGGAGCACCCCAGCCTTCTACCCTGCACCCCCACCCTCTGCCCTGAACCCCCCCATACCCTCAGCCTTCTGCCTGCACCCCTCACCCCTCTGCCATGAACCCCCCCACCCCCTGCCCTGCACCCCCACAGCCTCATCCCTCTGCCCTGCACCCCCCCATGCCCCCAGCCTTCTGCCCTGCACACCCCAACACACACTCAACCTTCTGCCCTGCACCCCTACAGCCCCAGCCCTCTGCCCTGACCCCTGAACCACCCCCCGCCGCGCAGGCCCTGACCACCCCGCTGCCAGCCTAGGTGAACAGAACCCCAGGCTGGCAGCGAGCTGAGCAGGCTGGTGGCGTAAGATCAGCATTTTAATTTAATTTTAAATTACGCTTCTTAAATATTTTGAAAATCTTGTTTACTTTACATACAATAGTTTAGTTATATAATATAGACTTATAGAAAGAGACCTTCTAAAAACGTTAAAATGTATTACCGGCACGCGAAACCTTAAATTAGAGTGAATAAATGAAGACGCGGCACACCACTTCTGAAAGGTTGCCGACCCCTGCATTAATGCCTGCAAAGGAAAGGATTTTTTAAAATGGGAAATTAATGAACCATTCATGTGTATTAGTATGTCATTGGTGCATTTCTCAGGTGGCTGAAGACATTTGACCTTTGGCCTCATTTCTCACTGTGTAAAGGCATGCAAAAATAGCCTACAATGCACATTCTGTCACAGCTTATTGCTGTATCATTAGCAGACCTCCACTTAAAGATGCAATATTTTAATGTGAAGCAGTGAAAAAGTGCACAAGACCAAATGATTTCGATTTAGGAAAGGTTTTGTTTTTAAACAATATTGCACTTCTGAAATACTTATATTATACTTGCAAATGTTGTGAAGAAAGAGTTAACTCATGGAAATAACCTCAAGTATATATTTGCTAAAAAGTGTCTCCCATTCCCACCCAACCCCCCACATATTAACCATAGAGACCATCCTGATGCTTATTTGCATTTTTATACATAGCTTCAGGATTAACACACTTAAATCAAACACTGTCCTTCACGTCCAAGAACATTTTTCTAATGAATAACTTAAAAAGTAATGTCACCCCGAAGATATCTTCTGATTTAAGAGACTGAAGTTAGGCATCTTCCAAATTTGTAAGTCTCAAGAAAATCAGGCCTTGGCTACACTTGCAGCTGTACAGCGCTGTAAATTAAACCTGTCTTCGTACAGCTGAGCAGGGAAAAGCACTGCAGTCTGTCCACACTGACAGCGCAGTGGTGTGGCCACACTTGCAACATTTGCAGCTGTGTTGGGAGCGGTGCATTATGGGCAGCTATCCCAGCATTCATGTGGCTGCAACGTGCTTTTCCAAAACTGGGGGGGGGAGGAGAGGGGAGGGGGGGATTATAACAGGGAGTGTGGGGGGAGAGAGTGCTTTTTGGAGCATGTCAGCTCTCTATTTTGCAAGTTCTGAACTCCCGGCCCCCTGCTCATTCATTTACCCACTCAAAGCAAGCTGCAAACTGTTTGCTTCTCTCTGTGGTAAGAGCTTTGAAACCAGCACTTCCACATTCCTGCAGCCGGTCACAACAATGGAGAGGATTGGCCACTTGACAAGGTGATTAGTATAGCGCTGCAAGCGTTTACACTCACACCCGTGAGTCGTAGCCACTCCGCTGCAGCGGTTATTCCTCTCGGAGATGTGGAGTACCTGCAGCGGTGTACCCAGGGAGATACAGCGCTGTAAGTGCCCTGCCAGTGTGGACGGGGAGTGAGTTACAGCACTGGGGGAGGCTTTACAGCGCTGTAACTTGCAAGTGTAGCCAAGGCCTTTGTCTTCAATTCCATCAGAAAACAAAAAAGGATGTAGTCTTTAAAAACCCTCCTTCTCCAAGCCCATACTACCTGCATATTTTCAATTCCTGAATGCATGCACACATGTGCGCATACAGAGAGAAACAAACTTTACATTTTTGCTGCCTCGTAGATTTAAAATTTTGAAATCTCATTATAGAGTGCATAGAAGAATGTGTCTCAAATGTGTCTGAAATGGTCTTTAGTACGACAAGATGAAAGAACAGAAATACATTTGTACACTATATTGCTTCCCTCCCCCTCTCCCCCCCCCAGAAAAACTACTTAAAGTAAAAGTCCGTTTAATATCAATTCCCTTCTCCCATCTTGACAACCAGGCAGGTGGGGGAATCAAAATGGATATCCAGCTCCCAGGACAGTGTTTTGGCTCTCAAAAAGTGAAGACAGACCAAACAATAGAACACCTTTATCCCAGGCTTTCCATGATTAGAACAGAGCATCTTCACTTGGGAACATTTTCCAGTGTACAGTCTGAACTCTCCCCAAGTTCCCATTCATCTACATTCTTTTCTTTACTTCTCAAATTCTGACTATCAGAATCTTTCCCAAATCTCTCCTTGACACTCCAGGATTGAAAGCTCCTTCAATTAATTCAAGTTCTTTGCCAAGGGACGACAATGCAGTCTGTTTCACTTTAGAATTTATTGCAAGCAGTGATGTTACTGGGCTTTGGGTGGAGTTTATCGACAGCACATGGAGAGTAATTAGCATTTGAATTAAAGCTACAT